ATCGAAAAGGATGAGGTTGCATGCGGTTTGAACATTGAAATACCTTAAGGTTATTATATTTCTCTGTTTTCTTAATCGGCTCTGCAGGAGCTGTTATAGCTGTCTTAGTGCATTCTTAGCAGGTTTCTCTAACTCGTTCAGTCATCTAATATTTGTAATATGACGAAAAATATTGAACCACCAGACTCTCGAACGTTTGTTTTACTTAGCGTCGCGGTATAGACCTTATGATTGTTGTAAATGAACACACTCACAAAGAAAAAAAAACGATTCGATAGAATTAAAAGTATTGCCAGTAGCTTAGTAATATTTAATCGTGTATACCTTCAGATTGAACACTAATATTTAGAGTAGGTGGAACAAGAGCGAAAATTTACGGCACAAAGCGTCATAGATATCTGATCTCCCCTTCTTTGGACTGATCGGCTGGAAAATACAAACCACCCCAGACACGCACACTACGGCTAGACCTGATAGGAGGTTAGATAGCCTGCTTTTTCTCTCTTCTGTTTCGGGCGAGAGGGTTAGTGTAGCGCTGAGCGCAAGAGTCTGGGAAAAAAAGAACCCCTATTCACAGATAAGGTGCTTGAAAAATCTGATTACCTCTATGAAATCTTAAATCTGTGTTAAGCGCGTCTAAGCCAACATCCATAGAAAAACGACTTAGTAGGTTTCGCAACGATGTTTGATTCTTTATCGCCGCAAAAGGAAACTGTAGACGGATATTTATGTTAAGCTAGATACTTCGATTTGTCACCAGAACAAATCGGCAACGTTTCAAATCTGGTCTTTTCGGGAAGGATTAGCGGAAAAGACTTTTCTTCAAGTGAACAATGTAATCCTAATCCAGCATGAAATAAAAATGATATACAAATTTCTCATGCAGTTGTGCGCTCAGTGCAGCTTTTATGAACAAGCATTATTAAGTGTCTGCCTCCGCTGAAGAGTTTATTTAAAAATGAAGGACACGATTTTTTTTTCTTTCAGGTGAACACTAAATAGCCTTCTTGTCCTCGCTTTAAAGAGACGATTTTACTCTTTTCAAAATGTTGTTGACGTTAGAAGGCTAGGTTACTTGAATAAAAAAAAGAAGAAAAGCAAGGAGACCCGCCATTTAAGAACGAAGTCTACAGTTGTGCGCATAATATCAGCTCACTTCAAAGAAATATCGAAAGAATAATGTGGGACTTACAAAAGCTTCCGTCGGATGTAGGATGTTTACTTTATTTAGAGAAGAACTTCACAATACAGCTTTCACGATTGTTCTTTTTGTATCCAGATAGACTAACCAGTAGCTGTGGACACGTTTATAGCTTCCTATTTTTGACAAATTACCATATCCGCCAGACACTGAAGTACAAATGTATTGTCCAGAAGAGCGGACGACTCTTACGGCTGTTAAATTTCACACGCTTCCAGGAGCCTTATGCTTAAAACAAAAAGGGCTGGATAAAGGTGTCTGCTACCCCAGACAGTACCAGAAGGAATGTAAGGGTTTGATCAAAACCCCCTTTCCAAAAAAATGTTCATTGACCTTACCAAAACAGTCTTCCTACAGACCTTTATTTACGGATAATCTTTCAAAGCCTGTGTGCAATAAGCGTTAAAGAGGATTAAAACGACCGTGTTAGCACGAGATAGAAGGTAGGAGGAGGAGGAAACAGACCGAACGTTTTATTGTTTTCCGCTCGCTTTCTCGCTAAACCAAACAGAAAAAGCGTCGAATTAAAAAAGTGACTGTGGACAGACTATGTAAAACACAGCTTTCGAAGTATAAGGTTTTCTGTATTTTTTACGACCACCTTTATAGCCATAGTTTTTTAGATTTTGTTTTTGACAGTGTGCATGTGTTATCTTATGATTTCAGAATGCTTTTTTAAAAAACAAGAAGACTTTGAAAGCATCAAAACCAGCATGTGTGAACATGTGAAAATATCCGCTTCCGGCTATTGTTCTTGCGGTTTTGAGAACAGAACTCAGAGGTGTTTCGTTTAAAATTGTTGAATATCATTACTTTGATTATTTGGGTATTAAAGCAAAAATGTGTCTTGTCTAGATATCTTGAGGTCACGAGTTCTTCTGAAAAACTGACTTTTGCAAAAAACAAAAGGGAAATACAAACAGATCCTATGTCAATGTCCGGCAGTAATTTTTTTACTTATCGTCTCGTTCCCCTGGGATTGCACAGATCTCCTGGAAATATTCCACATCTTTGATTGCTCAAACATGATAAAATGTTTCCAACTGAAAGTTTGCTGAAACTAGTTAACCCAAACATTAGAGGAGTCGTTAAAAAAATATATAAATTTTTTTTTCTTTTTTTTTTTTTGCACACTGGTATTGAACTTTTTTTAGTTTTGCCTCGGGCTAGGGTTGAATACTGTAAGAAAGCATTGGTTGATTAAAAGGAAAGCGAACCAACTGCAGCTTTAGACAGCGAAAGACAGCCACCCTTTTAAATTGATGTGGGTGGTAAGTAATAAAGAGGAAAGCTTCTCCAAGAACACTCTCGAAAATAGCCTCACGTGAATTTTAGTGGGGGCATCCCAAGTGAGTCAGCAGTAAAGGTAATCCGACTCGCTGAAATTTCAATCAGATTACTCAAGACTCTTTCTGTTTCGTGGTGTCAGGTCAGAAATATTATAATTGTGTGCATTGCAGCCAAGAAATTCCTGTTTACACAGCATTCAGGAAACACGCGTGGCAATTATCAGAAAAACGCGCCAAAAACTCGTCCTCAAGACAAAGGTTGTGTCAAACAGGCAAATCTATTTTTCGTGTAATGTTTGTACTGCACAGGAAGTTTAAATTTCGTTCCTCAGACCACAGACGAATGAATATGCTGATCGCACTCAGAGGAAGCATAAGTTTGGTTTTGATTACTCGAAGAACGAGACAGAAGTTTCGAAATAGTCGACGAGCAATTTGAGAACGTGATGCCCTTTTTTTTTTTTTTTAATTTGTCGCTTATTAAGCCCCCGTATTAAAACTTGAGCGTGGTGTGACACGTAAAAGCTGAGCGCTGCATGCGATGATATCGATCTTCCTCCCGACTTCAGCGATATATTGATCTTAATCACTTCTTATCGTGTGAAAAAATAGTTCGGAATGCACTGGAACGCAAAAATAGCGAGGTCAACAGATGCGGCCCCTGTCTCCGTCCGCTGAGCATGCGAGCCAAAATATAACCACACCTCCAACTAGATTTGTTTGCTCTCCTGTTACCTTGTAGCGTTTTGTTTGTAACATGTTAATCACGATGTTTCACAGAAAACTATCAGATCTGCCATGCAAATTCTGTTCACATTTATTATTTTACAAATTATATTTACAACAATGTCAATGTTGAGGTAAGTCGTTATAATTCCTATCGCTTGACAGGGAACGAAACTCACATTTCGTTTCGTAGTTCGTTACATCCATGAACTGCAAAGAATTATCTCGACTAAGAATAAATTAATTTCCTCTTTTAGCTATCTTTTCAGCCAATATTTCGGTATGTCCATAGCTTTCTGAAGCTTGCTGCTTCCCGCTTCATCTCCTGATAGTACAGTCTGTCAAATCTGCGTTAACTACTTGAAGTTCGGGTAAAGCGTTAAGTTGCTCTAATTCCATCTCGAGGATTAAAGACGTTAGCGCATCGTCGTCGAGAATAGCTACGTCGCATTCTGATGAATTAAAGTCTTTGTCTTGTACCCCGAATTTTCCACTATTGTGAACACAGTGTGGGATAGGATACGCGTTGGAATAAGTAAAAATGCTTCGGTCTTCTGAGCACCTGCGAGGTTGATTTCCACTCATTGATGAGAAGGGCCCAGGACTTGGAATAGGTCTCGTTAAAGACGGCGTCGTGGTTGTAATGGCGATATTATTATTTAGTACCAGAGTCATTTCTTCTGGTTTACTCCAGGCGTTACGCTGATGTGTATGTTCTCAACGGTGGTCTGAGTTGTTGAACACGAAATTCAAACACTCTTTATACCTGTCACTATTGACAAAAGAGCTATAAATAGACAGTTACCGCAAGGTCAGATGAGGGCAGCCAAAGTTTCAGCAGCCACGCAGATGGAAACTGAGATGACAAATATTTACCTGCTGTTGAGGGGTAACGATAAGGAAATGAACTTAAAGCAGGTATTCGCGGGTTGAAAACGTGCTTGTGTAAATCACACGACTGAAGTGTACGCTCCGATTAACAATATGCGCTTAGATCGAGCAATGACACCTTCAACTTTATATCCCTCTCCGTATCGGTGGTCTTATTCCAGGTTATTGATATTCCATTCGCGGTGTTGAGAGATTTAGTCATTGTTCTCCATGTAGAGATTGTAATCTGGCTGTTGCACAACAGTGATGGTATTTCACGAGCAGAATATTCGCTTCGCTTTGATGTTGCCGACAACTTAGCTTGTAGGATGTTGGGGTGTTTTGTTTCGAAACGGACGTTTCTCTGCTCGCAAACACGTTTTACACACGAGTCTCGTTTTAAGTTTGCCCTCAAGGCTTTTTAATTAATCATCCGTTTTGAAGCAGTTTTAGGAAACTTCCAGTTACGTGACAAGCACGGAATACTTGTCTGGGTTTCTTTTCAGTGGCATATTTATTGTAAACTTTTTCTTAGGATTTTCTTTCTTCTTTTATTTGCTCGATTAACAAGTCCTTCCTTTGTATTGCAAAACACTTGCTTCCATATCTTGTGGCCAGATGAGCTTATCAATGCCTTCACTGTCTCATCACGACTGTAGAACAAGATAACAATAAAGGTATTTCATATTTTGCGGGCGAAATCATCAGAATTTGAGATCATAAAAAGATAGGCCAAGTAAGCTGATGACGTTATTTCAAAACAGTTTCCTCAAAGAAAACTATTTAATTTTTCTTTAAACAATTTATCATGCTCTCTATAAATACCGGAATTGTATATGATTTCCTCGGCAGGCGATTGGTTGCTGTAAAGTATCATACAAGAGAACGTTTCATCGATATTTCAAGTCACACGAACACTGAATGTTTTTCTTTTGTTCCTGCGTTACGTAGGTTTCAGGTCCGTGATGAGTTCGATCCAAGATTTACGTAATTATTGAAAGGCATTGCGAGAGAAAGATTAAGGGTCGTAAAGAAGGGTTTAGCATGTGATAAGTTCTAATACCCTCTATTTAGCGCCTTTTCTCCTCCTGTCTTTAAAACAAGCATGTTACATTCTTGTTGTATTGTGCGCTTTTGAAAAAGACTACGTGTCAAAACAACATCCTTCGTTGCTGTCCAGTCAAGTGGTCAGGAGATTATGTGACCTCATTCAATGTCTTCAAACACTCACGTCATTTGCATAATTGTCATCTTCTGCGATCACCTCTCGAAACGAGAAAAGTGCGCTTCGAAAATACACTCGGATTCTTCCACGTCATCATTGTAAAAGCTCTCGCTTTGAGCGAAACTGTTGTGAAGAACACTTCATCTGCAAAGGGTTCCATGACAAAATCAGCTCTATTACATAACAAGATTATTGATTGGAAGGGTTTACGAAATTGTAATTTTTAGACTAGTTATTAGACACGCACATTTGCACAGGACTTGACAATGGTACGAGTTACGTGTAAAGCTTCCGAAGAACCTCTGCGGTTTTCGTTTTTTAGAAAACGAAAACACCGACGGAAACCACACAAAAACTGAAGGTACTCTGGGGAACAATTGTGGAAACTGTCAGAATTTAGCCTCCGGTATTAAAAGAATGCAAGTCATTGAATAAAGTGGTAATTAGCCTATTATATTCGACTCTCACTTTCCATCGAGTACAGAAACAACGCCAAAGACATTCCTCTGTCGGAAAAGACATCCATTTGTCAGCTTTCCGTTTTCGACACAACTTGTCGAAGGAGACACGAGAGTTAATTCTTTTCTAACTAGTTTCTGTAGGTATTGGAACAACTGAAGCTAGAGATAACAGAAGGAACAGATCTCGTCACATCTGGCGGTCGATTCGAAATTCAGCGTGGATATAGGTTCGAGTTTATTATCGACCTAAGTCTGTCTCCCGTAAATGCATTCCTTGTGCAAGCCTCGTTATCTCCTTACGTGTCGGCCAAGAGCTTATTGTAAAGTTAAGAAAAATCATCTTCACCTTCAAACCAACTTTCGGAAATACGTTGAAGGTTGTAAGGTTTTCATTAGATGCGAATACCACATTTTGAACCATCGAGAAACCGAATGAAAATTACTAAACCAAACAAAACAAACAAACAGACAGGGATAGGGGTTCGAAAGAAGTCTTGAAACCGAATAATTTCATAATAATTGAAGGTTCATAACTGCTTCGGGCAGTTGAAACAAGAATCTGCGATTACGAAACTTGTTATCAAAACTAACTTAACGATCTCTATTCAAGTACACTCGAGATGAACACTTCCAGACAGAGCTGATTAAAAATAATTGTTTTCCTTTTTCAGTCAATACGAACGCGTCGAAGTTTGCTATTTCATGAATGCCTCGAGCAAAAAGAAAAAAAAAAGGCGTCAAATATGTTTAGCATCCTGTAATTTGGTATGAAAATTCTGAATCGATGAGGTTCCTTGCATTATTTTGAGGAACCCCAAAGGATGTATTTTTCATCACGTCATGACACCGAACCTCAAGATTACTTAAAAGAGCTGTAGTAGTTTGAGTACTGATTCACCACAAACCTCTCAACGTACTTGATCTTTTGATTTCCTTTGTTTTGAAATTAATTTATGACGTCAGTTCTTGGGTCACGTCATGCGTGACGGGGAAGAGCTTGGTGACGCCTGCTTCGTTGCACGTGATTTCTTTCACACAGGGTAAAGTCATTTTGTTTTATTTTCATTTACGTAAAGCGGAACATGCCAAGTTCGTCGCGTCATAAACCTTTTACACTAGTTACCCCGCGTCAAGGGAAATTAAATGACGAGTACTGCAGTGACACCCTGACAAAACAACAAACCCGCTAAAAATAAAAACAGCCAAATAGATAACGCATCCTGTCAGGAGCCATTACTAACGTAATGGGCTCGTGGTTGTGTTGATAAAAGAACGTGAAAGTGTCGCTTGCTTTTCTCCTTTCAGCCCTTTACACCGTAACATCGGTATGCAAGTTCTCCATACTTTTTTCCGTTCATTTCCTTTGGTACTGACGAAGAGAATTCGTTCAACAATCAAAACTTCTTAGGTTGGTTATCGTTTCCGCTATTCTCCCGACCTTAACGTTTGACTCAGGGTCAGTACTGTTATAAATAAATATAAATGGAATAATTGTATGCTTATCACTTTTAGGGAGAAAGGGGGTAAGGGCGTGTGATCTGCTTTTCTTGTTGGTAGGCTTGAGCGGTGCGCAAGTCGATGAGACATGTTCAAAAAATCCGGCTTGATTAATTATAAATAACATACGGCTGACTCGGGGTCAAAGCAAAGATTCCTTAAGGAACCTACTTCAGGAAATTCGCATTTTTTTGCGCTGCTTCCTTTTCATAACCTTTTAAGCGTGAAGGTAACAACAAAATATTTGTTTGGCATCCCAAAAGGGAAAAAAAGGATTATCCCGTGCCGCGCCATTCCTTTGATAATAATACCATGTTAGGATAACCAGCGCCAAAGGCTAGTCTAAAATTGTCGTGTTGAGTCATCTTGATCCTCTTTCAATAGAGGACGTGAAAAGTCATGCACCTACCCTCTTTTGTTGAAAATATCCAGGCCAAAAGCTTGATAAAGATTTAAGCCAAAATATATATTAATGTTTCAACATTTCGTTAGTTTGCAATGTGTGTAGCCACAGATATATTGTTTTTTGCGTATGAATTCTAACGGTGCAATTATTTTTCATGTGTCATGGGGAAGGAACTCTCTACAGAACATCGTAAGCGGTATTTATTTCTCGCCCACTGCTGTTTCCTTTCGATCATCAGGAATAAGTCTCAGCGAATGATAACAAGTTAGATCGTAAGATCCTTAGGGTGACGTAAGTTAATTTCGTAAAAATAAACTCTGCTTGACTTTTTGGGTGAGTGCCTCACCGGCACGAAAATAAACTTTTCGACGTTTCCTTTCAAGATTCAATTGTGTTGTCCCCTTCAGTATAGCCTTCTCGAATATGGTAGCGGAATGAATACAGGTGATTACATGGGCAAATAATCTTTATTTATTGAAGAAATGGATGTTCTATGAGGTGTCCCTCAGTTTCGGAGTCCGTCGTGCGAGTCGACCAAAACGTGAGCGAAAAAAAATTGATGTTATTTCGTAGTCCCTTAGACTACGAGCTGTCGGTCCTTTTCGTCGCTCGAGTCAAAAAATCATTTTTCCTCTGCTTTTTTTTTAACTTTCGCGACGGATTTCGCCAAAATGGTGGGACTGCTCCAAGTGTTGATGTCCCTAATTTTCGTGCGCTGTTTTTTTTTTCGACTAACGCGAAGGATTCGCCGATTAGAAGGGTTTACTTGTAGTCTAAAGAAATGATACACCAAGATTATTCGAATTTACAAAGCTTTTGAATGATTGTTAGAGGAAACGCACAAGGTGTTGCATTGGTTACTGTCCGACTAGGAAGTGTATGACAAACTCTCCGCTTTATTTAAAATGCGTATACTCCGGTTAAGACGGGTCTTTATATCATCATCTCTTGATTATAGTGAGATTTTATTCGTCTGAAATGGTTATAGGAACATAAATCGTTTTCAATGCATCCTCAAAGTTACGATCAGTTTTCAGCCCGCTATTTCTTCGAGTCCCAGACCCCCTTAAGCATCAATATCTTCTAAAAATATCGTTGATGTGAAGAAAATTTTAAGAGTGAGATTTTTAATAATTCATAGGACATCTGTTGCGAAAATAAAAGTTTACTTTATAAGCAAAAGATTAAGAAATAAAAACAACGCCGAGATGTAAAGAGATCGAGACACCTTTTCGCATTGTGTGAAAATTTTTATTTTTTGGCGAAACACTGCACAATTTTTAAGAGTTTTATCTCATTTAGTTTACGTGGTAATTACCTCCTGTTATTGTCTCTTAATTGCACCGCAAACGAATCAAACAGAGTTTTCTTCTCTATGATATAACGCTTTCTTAAAAGGCATGAACACTTTTGCCATCTTCGGTAATGAAACGAGAAAAACTCTGGCAGGGCTGAAACCAGAACATTTGTACCGCTGATATTTTTGTTCTATAAGGAAATATATAGAATTTCGAACATCAGCTCAACTTTTTTCGGCAAAGAACTGTAGCTCTTGAAAGCTATATGTAAAGAGACGCTCTGTTAAGCGGCGAAATAAGATCACTAAGCGTTCGTCAAGACATGAAAACAGCTATCAGAGACAAGATTTTCGAGACCTCAGGCGTGGGACAGGCACCAAGCAAAGACTTCTTTCATTTAACTGTGACGAGAGAATCGATTATCTGGCGCTCGTGGAGAATAACTTTAAGAAGTAACAAGTCCTTGCCGGGCGAAACGACTCACTCGTGGGATGAGTTCGTTAATAATTCCAAAGGTACACGGCTTCAGGGAGAAATACGGCGAGTATTTGGGGTCGAGACTTTAAATATTGTGCTCGCCATGGTGACGCAAACCTGGTTACCTTATTTGAAAAGCGATATTCTGACCGAAATTCTTGTTCGACTCGATCTTCGTGACATCATACGGCTTGCGCAGGTAAGATACTTGAAATTATTATGGTGACCATGAAATAAAGTGTCGTATCAACCCAGACCAACGTGAGACAAACAGACTTGCAGCCAATAAGTATGACAGAAACAATTTATGTAAAATTTAGGTCGATCAAACACCATTCTCTTAGATGAATACAGCTATCGAATCAACAAAGCGGGAGAGATTTGTATCCTCCAGTAGCACCCATGACACCGAAAAACAATCTGAGAGAACCCTGATAGCGTGAAATTAATATTTATAATATGTATAAGCAAGCATTAAAAGACGAAGTTTGGGATTTCATATCATTTCAGTGGTGTGTTTATTTCTTGTTAGTAACTTTAGGATGTCGATGAAGTTCGTACTTTCGTCTTATTTCAGGAGTGAGTTTTATTCTCGTTAATAACAATAATGATATTTTTCAAAACTTCTTTCTGAAAAAAAGCGAACAAATAAACATACGAACTCAAATGTTGCAAATGAGGTCTAGGTGGATAATTAATGAGGTCTCGATTTAATAGTTTTTTTTCAAAACCTTTTTGCTGCTGAAAACAATTGTAATTTCTATTCAGCCGGTGTAAAAAGATGAACCATGTGAAATTTCGCTCATTAGGGTAAGGCCCGCGTTTTAAATATGTGGATGACAGCCGACAAATATGACAGCTTTCCACAACTTCGATGACCACATATCAATTAAAAATTTTAATTAAATTTTCAATAATTTTCTGCCAGTTGTTTTTCCATGGTGAGAAAACAGGAACCATCTTATCAGGAATTTGGCCGGCCTATAAACAGATAAAAGAAACATCGCGAAAACAAAAAGCAAATTTGTAGTTTTTTTCATCAATCCAAGGTACATGAAATACACAACTCATTAATTATGAAATAGAAGCCGACAATTGTCCAAATGGAAATAGAAACTAATTTGCTACGTGTTTTTCCCTTAAAGAAATGCTTCATTGTTCAAAAATATCTTAGATTGCGGAACCATTACGGACATGACTGAACGCTCATGTTCTCTAAAAATTTCCTTTTTACCTATTTTCGTGTTTCGGATAGTAGTTAACATGATACAGGAAGTGCGACCACGCCGATGTAGGCCTGTGTTGATAGGACTTTCTCCATATTTTGAAAACTCTTCATAATATTTCTTTGTAGATATTCAGGGAGTTATTCATTGTTAAAAGTATTTCGATATTTACATGTCAAATTCTATTTTGGTGATGCCCTTAGGTATACCGGTACAATACGTGTTTTCTTTTCTCAACATATCCTTATAATATGCCCTGCCTATGGTAAAAACTTAAGTTTCAGGAAAAAAAATTGTGTAGAAATAGATAATTGCTGGGAAAATGATATTAAACTTGCCTTGTATTGATGCGTTGTAACTCATGCTCGATGGTTGTCCAATATTGCAATGCTTGCCTAACTTTCACAAAAAAGATTGATTTGTCATAATACTGATAATGTGCTAACTTTGTCACCTGATGAAACGAAAGAAAGAAAAAAATTAAAAAGGCGGGTTAATTTAGTCTTGTGTGTTTTAAGTGTTAGATGATGTTTTGATAATGTCGTTATTCATATTAATCAGGCGATTGAGGTCACTTATTTCTGTCATTTCTGGTTTTGGTGCATCCGGTACGTAACATGGTCGTGGCTGGTGGAAAAACCGTCACGTTTTTGTCCGGAAGCTGTTGTTTCGTTATTTTTCACCAATCAGAATGCTGCGTTCGTGGGCGAAAAAAAGGATGAAAAGAAACATCCTTGCAGGCCCACATTATCAGTGCTAGACCCATTGGCTGATCCCTCCCCGACTCGTCTCAAATCTTCGCGTGGGCCGAGAAACACTTACCCTGAAGTTCTAGAGGCATAAAACTCAAGCTAGCAACACACATCGCTGTGGAGCCAATTTATGAATTTGTCCCTAATTTGTACAACAAAATCTCGCCTCCGCCATCAGATTCGCATAAAATAAAGAAGAAACATTTAAAAGATAACGAACAGGAGCGAAGCCGGGATTTTATAAAAGAGAGGGGAGGAAGGAAAGGGCGGGGAAGAGAGGGGGAGGGTTCCCGTTTAGAGTTTCGACGTTCCTTTTGTAAATTGGCTTATACCGCTGCTCTTCCCTGTGTACCAGCGGGCTCGTATTCATGCAGCGATATGGCGTCCGAGTTACATTCTTCCTTAAGAGTTTCGTTGAATTCGAATTTTCGTAACTCGTTTGGTTATGCTTTTCATATATTTGTGTGCATTTTTTCAGTTGAACCACACTTTCATACACATTTGTATGGTTAAATAAATATTGCGGCTTAGAGTCTGTAGCATTTTCCTGAAATAGTTATACTTCATAGCTGATTCTATCTGACGTATGTCACCTCGTTGCAGGTTTGCCGAGCTTTGTATAACGCTTGTGTCAGTGACATTTTATGGCAAAAGCTTTACGTAAAACACTTCGTGATCGTTCCATCAGACGTACGGTCTGTGGCTGAAGAGTTCGGATGGAAGAAGGCTTTTGTCGTAAATCTGCAGAAACCAGTTCAAACGGTCAGAGCGTTAAGAAAAGTTCACACAAAACTGCAAGAGGAAAGTTCGAGGAAAACGCCAAAAGAAGAAGGAAAGAGGGTGGGGCCACTAATGTCTAATTAATTGCACCTTCTTTCACAATCAGGCACTAGAATCAGAAGGTCTATTGACTGACTCTACGCTTTAGGGTAACATAAGTTATTCATTGCTTTAGATTGACCCCTGGGTATGAGTAATGGTTATACCTACCCCTTCCCTAGAGTACTAGGCATAGTATCAGGTGATTGCGAATCGGAAAAGTATTTTCTTGTTTAGATATGGGAATTATTCACTCATTGATCTATTAATTCATTTATCTTGGGCTGTATCGGTCTAAAATCAAGGAAAGATAGTTTACCATTTTGAAATGAAATAGACAATGCCTCTTAAGAGGCCTAGGGTGAAACCCGAATTCAGCGAAAGTTAAGGTGACGTACTCTTGCATTGAGCGGACACTTATGCAAGTCCCGAGTTTTTTCTCTCATATTTGCTGAGAAATTAACTCTATTAAGTAGAGGCGGAGACCAAAATTGAGCGCAGTTATCACTTGGAATCTGAATTGGGCGGACAACGTAATGAGAATATTAATTTTGATTTTCATTCATAAAAGTTCAAGATTTCCTGTTTTGTTAGTTTTGAAATGTTTGTTGGCTTCTTAATTCTCAAAGTAACTCAAAGGGTTCCTGATTACTCACTATGCTGCGTTTCGGGTTTAACAGGCAATTACTGTTGCAAAATTTGTGTTACGGGGACACACTGACAAACATACACAAATTATCAAGCGCACACAAACAAAAGTGCCGCAAGCGATGCTTCTAAAACATCAACTTAATTTGCCATTTCACTTTCCTGCTTCCCGTTGTCCGTTCCTCAACCTCCATTCCTCGTTTTAGTAACATCCGTTCTGCAAGTGTACAAATAAAACGGCTTTCATCCTATTTGAAACAAGCAAATTTCATTTTGTTGTGCACAACATGTTGTTACCAAATCTTTGCGCCCTATTTCACGTCATTTTAGACAAAAAAAGAGAAACGACATCTGCAGTGCAAGACGTCAACAGTGCAAGGTGTCTGCAGTCCGTCTGGACTCTAATAGATAGTAAGACTTATTACAGAGAATTAAGTGGTCTATCAATTATGCGTACTTATTTCATTAAGAAACGTCATGTTACTCGGATTTCAGAAACATAAAGGCGGTAGTAATAATTTTACTAACAGCCACAAGCCGCGAGCAGGAGGCTCAAACAACGCTCTATGATAATAAGGAGCCAGAAAGTCACAACAAGTTTAAATATATAGAAGATTCCAAGTTGTGACAAGTCATTTGCCTAAGAAATAGGGCGAGCATTCGCCATCTTGTTTTAAATTACAATAAAAAAGTAAAAACATCAGCAAAAATAGATGTAATGGCTAGATGGCAAAGCTTTCTTAAAGTTATAGTAACTCTGCCATAGCTTTTTACCCTAAGAAATAAGAAAAACCTACGACTTAAGTATCACAGGCTTGTGAAGATTATTGTATTAAAGCCTATAACAGTGAGATTATACCACACTGAGTTGCACAATGTAGAAATTACAAGCACTAAGTTGACTTTCTCTAAAACTGTATAATTTTCAGCAAAGCTACATCGGTGGAAAATCTTGATTCCTTTTTTTTTTTCGTCAAACAAAGATCGGATCAATATCTGGGCAACTGCCCACCTACCCCTCCCCTAACTCAACAATAGTCAATTGATAACAAGTTAGGGTTAATGTTGGGTTAGGGGAGGGGTAGGTGGGCAGTTGCCCAGATACTGATATTGACCCCAAAGATCAATTTAGACGTCGGAAGGTGCATGGTGACGAGTCCCTACTCACAGTCAGGTCTTACCGATACACAACAGGTACTGTTGTCTAATTTCTCCTTACAATATCACCCCTGAATCAGACATTAATGTCATGATCATAAAGGACCACCAACTAAAAAAGCTCTTGATTGTCAAACAAATTCTTCTCGTCGGTACCTTAGTTACTGTATAGAGAACAGTATGGAGAATATTCATACTGATAATAGTGTGAAGGTTAAATACCTAACACTTAGGTTCGAATATCACGGTCTAATAGTATTTCGGAATCATGAAGTACATGACAAGAGTGACTGTGGTGACTATCACTGTAAAAATCCAGAAGAACATTTGGTCAATGATTTGGGCAGCCATTTGCCATTTCTTTTTCTTTTCCTCTTCGCCTTGGTCGACTGTTAAAGAGTTCGCAACTGCATCAAGTTTGGCGATAACTTGATCGAACTTGCGCTCCAATTGTGTGGGGAAAACGAATTCTTGCACAGAACCGTTCGGTGAACGGCACTGGGGACTAGAATTCCCGCTGTCTGAGGCAGCGCGCCTCTGTACAGGAAAATAGGTTGGCCAGCGGTCGGCGACTACACTTACTGGAGTATGCTTTCGTTTTGGACCATCTTTCGAAGTTTCCTCCGGCCGAGGCTTTCTGAGTATTCGAGAAAGAACTGAAAAAACAATGAATTCAAAAGTTTTGGACATTTCAGCTGAAGGATCTCGGTGGTAAATCCACAAAACCAGACACGAAACAACCAATGACATGCCCAGGAGAGCCATGATGGTGGTGGAGTACTTGGTCAGAAGAGGAGTGACTTCCGAAGTAGATGGTATGTTTTCAGTGAAGATGAGTGTATAAACAGTCAAACCCAGAAGAATTGTGATAATTAGTGAGATCCTCTCGCCGGATTCGACTGGCAAGAAGAACGCAAACACCGTTAAAATCGCTAGTGCGACGCACGGAAGGAGCAAATTGTTGAGATAGAAGAGCACTCTTCTACGAAGCACAAGATGGTAGGTGATGTCAATGAACGGATCTGGACAGCAGGTGTACTTCACCACATTACGCATAGCCTCAGCAGAAATCAGGTCCCATTCGCCGCTGACAATGTAGCTGGATAAATCGACTTCTTTTCGGTCAAGCATTAGGTTTAACGAAGAGCTTGTGTAGGTCCAAGAACCAAAAACCATGCTGCACCGTTGTTGGTCAAACGGAAAATAGGTAATGTCGATCTTGCAAACTGTTTTCACTTCTGTTGGGGCGTACCACTGACATGAACCATTGTAGTTTATGACGACCTTGGTGTTGAACTTGTACATCTCGCCACTGTCGCTCTGAATGCTAAAATAACAATAATAATAATAATAATAATAATAATAATAATAATTATAATAGTAATAATAATAATAATACAAAAATATCGGCATAGATTTGATGTCAGCAAAGAAGAATGTTGTCATCTTACATATTTAGCAACATATATCATGTAGCCGTCTTTCAGTATCTCCAAGTTCATCTCCTCGCCAAACATCATTTAAAGCAGAATCTATGCAACTTTAAGTTGGTAAATTAATCTTAAAGACACAATGGATGCCGAAGGAGACCTTGTTTACCTGTTGTAAAGAACAATGTCAGGTTTCCAAACAAGTATTGGGTCAATGTTGATGAACTTTACACCACCATAATCCGAAGGATTCCACCTCAGAAAAGGATTTTCCCAAGACTGAAACATAAAAAGAAAACGACTACTTTCATGAATAACCCGTTAGCATTGAAATGAAATGGTACATTTACGAAAGTCACGACACCACCCCCTTGCCATTTCGCCCGAGTCACGCCGTGTCCAAGCTGTGTGACCTCGCCCTCAAGTGAGCTCATGTCGCTTCATGTTAGATAAACTAAAATCAGCAAGGTCTCTTCTCATGCAGCAGTCGCACTTTAGGAGCGGTCAGTCTGGCTTTTAAACCCCTTTCTCATTGTTTTGGTAAATGCGTAATGATTTGACAAATATGGTGATAATCGAGGATGATGCAGGAACATTTGCGTTGACGTGATTTGAGCATTCAATAGAGCTTACAGGTAAAGCTTTGTCCTACCTGTCGAATCCAAACCTTGCTGGTCATTATTTGGCTCCGTCCGTTCTAATAATGAATAAAATAAAAATTACATCAAATTTGAATAGCCATCCTAATCTTTTTGGGACATGCCCTTTCCGGTACTTTGGAAAATTTGCTTATTCGGAACTTTTCTTTTTTCTGATTGGTCATCGCGATTACCCTGGTTTTGCTTTTGCGACATTCTACTGCTTCGTGGAAAGAAGACTTCAAATTAAAAGAAAAAAAAAGAGAAAGGAAAAATTTGATGGCCCGAAAAAAATAACTGCTGCATTTATGTCAGTCTTTGCAAGTCATAATGTGTCGTACGTCCACAACGTCCCATCATTGTTAAAAAATGCTCACTATCTTGTTGATGTACATATTTTTTAACCTTAATAGAAACTCCCTTAAATGATTTTAGCTGTTATATTGAACCACAAAGTATTTTCCCCTTAACACAATAATCAAAACATTAATCTCTCGAAGTAATCGTGCTCACGGTGGGACGCATGCGTCTGAAAATGGGCACAGAGAGTTGTAAGTATTCTAAGCTTGTTATCCCATCTGAATGCTCCTCAAAAATAGTTCTTTAAGCGATAAAAGACTCATGTGCTTTGCATCACATACCAATTCAACAAGTTGACTGAACATCATGTCAAAGTTGACAGGAATTGGTTGTTGTTTGTCGATGACAGGTCTCACTTCTTTACTGTAATTTGCGAACAGATCATTCATGAGGCGATGTTCTGGATCGAGATGAGCCTGGCCTGAAAAAAAGAAAAAATTGGAAAGCACTGATGTTAAAACTCGTGCATTGACTCCATCACTCGTCTTCTCACCCAACCCCCCTCCTCCCTTCAACTTACTCACACACATTCACTTACCTGCTTAACTATCCATTCAATCAACCACTTACTGCCTCAACCACCTAACTAACTACCCATTTACTCACTCAGTTGCTCACCCACTTGCCCGCACTCCCACTCGCCCACTCGCCTACACGCCGATTCGCCCACTTGCCCACTTGCCCACTCGCCCACTCATCCACTCAACCTGCTTACTCACCCACTCACCCACTCACGCACTCACCCACTTGCCCACTCACCCACTTACTCACACGCACACCCACCTAATCACTCTCTTGCTCACTGTTACCTATAACTCCACCCACGCCTCCCACCCACCCACTCACTCACGCGTGTACTCGACGCCCATACATTCGTTACCCATTCAATCTACACTGGCTTTGTAGGGCAGCTACATAGGTCATCTATCGCTGTTGTTCCACTTTTGGATTGTGATTGTTTTCCGATCAAAATGACTTTAAAAATTTCCCTTTCAGCTGCATTCTTCTGGACTTTTTTCGTTCAATTCATATCCCTTTGTTTGGTTGTTTGTTTAATAAATTGAATTGTTGATTTTGTAATTGCCTTCCATTGGTTTATTAGAACGTTTATATTATTACATGTTGGTTTTGATATAAACGCACATTCGTTTGCGTTATTCCATCGCCTAAATACGTCAACTTGCTGATCTAGATACCAAAAGTTGGAAATAACTCTCAACTATGGTATTAATTTTCTGCAGTTTAAAAGTGTCTAAACTTAAAGCCATGAAGAGAAAAAGAGATATTACAGGTTTTTTTTCTCTTCATCAAGAACAGATATTAAATTTTAGCATTGTTCTTTTTATTCCTGCGTGGCTTTCGTG